TAAAAAAACAAGCCAGGAGTGGTGGCACACTCTCAGAAAGCAGAGGCAGGTAGATCTCTGTGAGTTCGAGGGCAGCCTAATCCACTAGGGAATTCCGGGCCAGCTAGAGCTATTTGGTGAGTCCCTGTCTCAACAAAATAAAAAAATAGTAAAAATAACATAAACCAGGCTTAAGGCCTCTGCATGTGTACCCTGGGGTAAGGCCTCTGCATGTGTACCCTGGGCTAAGGCCTCTGCATGTGTACCCTGGGGTAAGGCCTCTGCATGTGTACCCTGGGATAAGGCCTCTGCATGCGTACCCTGGGGTAAGGCCTCTCTCTGCATGTGTACCCTGGGGTAAGGTCTCTCTCTGCATGTGTACCCTGGGGTAAGGTCTCTCTCTGCATGCGTACCCTGGGGTAAGGCCTCTGCATGTGTACCCTGGGGTAAGGCCTCTCTCTGCATGCGTACCCTGGGGTAAGGCCTCTCTCTGCATGCGTACCCTGGGGTAAGGCCTCTGCATGTGTACCCTGGGGTAAGGCCTCGACTCTCCCCCAGATGCTGTCTGGGAACCTGACAAATAAGACTGCCTTGTTTACAGTTAAGATAGCCTAACTTCCTTCATGATCTTTTACCTGGTCAGTTACAACACTATCAGGACACCTCAGGAAACATCCTGTGAGCTTATTTAAGTTTCTCAGCAGTCCTCAGAAGATAACTTCAGAGCTCACCAAAACAAGAAATCTGGCTATCGTAAAAGACAATGAGAAACCCACACCCAATTTCTCTGATGGGCCTATTCTTTCCCTGATCATCTCTTTGTCTTAACCTCTGTGTTTTAAATATATATTTAAAACTATATTTTTAAGTCGGGCAGTGGTAGCACAGGCCTTTAATCCTAGCAGTTGGGAGGCAGAGGCAGGAGGATCTCTGTGAGTTTGAGGCCAGTCTGGTCTACAGAGCGAGTAGGACAGCCAGGGCTACACAAAGAAACCCTGTCAACAAAACCAACCAAACATATATATATATATGTTATTTATATATTATTTACACATATACTTTAAAATAAGCTACAGTTCTGCTTCATACAGCTAGTCCTAAAATAATAATAATTAATAGAACAACAACAATTATTGTTATTATTATTAAACAAAGAAGTCAAAAGTCTCTCCAAGTGGAGGTTATGAAAGGACAAGGTAACTCCTCAGTCTGACGCTGGCAATTCTGAGTGTCTCCTGTTGCATAAACCAGGAGGGACCGCCTGGGACCCTGCATCTTTCTCACATTCTTGGAAAAGTAGCTTAGTCCTTTCACAAGATGTCATAATGTAGTAAGTCCTAGCTCTGGACATCACTGATAGGGAAGAGAACGAAAATCTGAAAACGGAAAAGGGGTCAGACGTTTAAAGTAAAAACTTGATTCCTTTGAACCTCGGCCAGCAGAGTAGAACTGCAAATCCCGGCGAGCCCCGCGCGGCGGGGGCAGGGACTACGTTTCCCAGCGGGCGCCGCGGTAGGCCTCCGGGGGCGGTCCGCAGGGGGCGGGTGCTGCCCTCTGCCGGGCGCAGCGGGAAGTGGGCGCGGAGTGACAGCCGGAGCCCGAGCGCCGGGCGCGGGGCTAGGTGACAGCGGAGGCGGCAGCTGCGGGCGGGACGCAGAGAACGGCGACGGCGCCGACGGCGGCGGGAAGGACGGACGGGGCGGGCCTGGCTGGCTGCGCGTAGCCCTAGGAGCCCGAGAGCGGGCGGCGGGCGAAGATCGGGGGCCCGGCACCCGAACTTGTGACAAGTTACCGGAACCACAGGGCGCCGGCGGCGGACAGATTGACCTTCAAAGCGAGGTGAGCGGGACTAGGGGGCAAGGGGTGCACGGGGGACTGGGGAATGCCAGCTCCGCACTTCCCATCCTGTGGGTGCCCGAGACAGGTGGGGTGGGTGGACGGGGGTACAGACTTGAGCAGGACAGGGTGCACCGCACCGCCACCCATCCGCAGCCGGTGCAGCCCTGGGTACCGGGCGCGTGGCCCCAGCGGTGCAGCTCGTCAGCCGGGGAGCCCCTCGGGCCCCTCCCTTCAGGCCGGGCAGGGGGCCGCCTCCCCGCGACCTTATGTAACCGGGGCGGGAGTGGCCGGGGCGGGCACGGGCCTTCCTGGCCCGGGGAAGCTGAGCGGAGCTAGGGCGGGAGGCGCAGGAGTGAACTTGCCAGAAGTTTTGAGGGACGCTCGGGCCCTGAGCTCGCTCCCCCTCCCCCGATGCGGCGGGGGCGGGGGGCTCGGGGGAGGGAGTCCGAGGCCCCGGGAGGTGTGCAAGTATCAAGGCCGGCGGGGCCAGGCCCAGCCTGGATGGTCGCGGGGGGAGTGGGAGGGCCGGAGAGGCGCCACGCCCCGTGGGCTGGGCTGCTGTGTCCGGGGGTGGTGTGGACGTCCCATCCCTCCCTCCCTCGGTGCCCGTCTTCCTCCTAGTCTCTTGCAGAAAGACACCCCTGATTTCAGCCCCTGGTGTCCCTGGCAAACTTATCCTCTTGCATTATCCCACCACCCTAGGGAACCCCAACTCGGGTCCCACCTTCTGTGCGTCTCGCTCTCTGCTTCCTTGAGCTTCCAGTCGGCTGCCCTCCTCCCTGAGCCACCCTTTTGGTCCCCAATTCCGGGAAATACGCCCCCTTGTCCCTGTCTACCCCCTTCTCTCTGCACCGTCCAACCCCAGACTGGCCCGCCCGCCCCGCCAGGTCAGTGCCTTCGTCTCCCCCAGCCCCCAACTCCGGACCCCGTCGCCTCTTCCGCCCAGCGCCTCCTGGAAGGGAGCTGGCGGATGCCACCTGGGTCTCCGCCCCTCGGCCCCCGCCGTGCTCTGGGTTCTGGCTTCACGCACCGCTGCCCGGAGCTGCTCCGGGCTGCGCGAGCAGGTTCGCGCCGCAGCCGCCTGGCGCGCCCCAGCCCCGCGCCCTGGGGAGGAAGGGAGGGCGCCGGCCCGGGTGGGGCTGGTCTGCGCCAGCGCTCCCCCAGCCCCCGCCCTCCGTTCTGCGCCTGCCCCTCGCCACGGCGCCCTTCCCCAACCTGCGTCAGCTTTCGCTTGTCCTGCAGAGGACTGTTCTGTGTGACAGTCGCAGGACTAAACTTGAGGGCTCCGTCCACCGGGGAAGTGTGGCTTCCACCTTCCCCGACCCGGAGTGAGGGGCTGCTTGATGTAGCAGGGAAGGGGAGCCTCTGGGACGGGGCCTGAGGCCCCTACACCCTCCCCGGCCCGGATTCCGCTGGCCCAGACCAGGCACTGTTGGGGGGTGAGGTGGGGGGTGCGGATCTCCAGTTTCCTCTAGGGCGGCCAGGTGCAGATGCTGGCAGATCCGAACGGAGGCCGGGCTCGGTGGCCGGGGAGCTGGTCTCCGCTCCCCAGGCTCTG